AGCTGTCGAACTACGTAAGGAAGTTTGGATGGAGGGTTTGCATCGCGAACATGATAGAAACAGAGGAGGTAAGGAGACAAGAGGCGAGGACGACGGAGGCGAAGAAAGGACCTAGCGGGGGAGGCGAGCAGGCAAGTCAGAAGAGCGCCGAGAAGAAGCGGAAGGCGAACGAAAAGACATCGGACACGGCTAAATGGCCGTGTAATCATAACGGACTTTACTTATGTGACAGAGGAAGTATATAGTCTAGGTTCCTCACGCGAGCAAGGCTAGGCTGTAGGTTGTTCACCCCAACCAACCCTCCTAACCCAAACCCTTGCATGGCTGCACGCTGTGGATGGGAATGACTAATGAGTGCGTCACTTGGTTTGTGACAAAGTTACTGCTGTGCTAACGGACGGTATGTCGGTAAATAAAAAACGCGGAATAAATACTGGGTACCCAAAAGCGAGGAAGGGTGAAATCGTTTTGAAAAAAACGCGAAATCGTACTTAACAGGAAAACGCCTCTCTCTACACGAGGAGCGTATGCACGGACAAAGTACCCACCACGTGAACAAGACGTTCAGAGAAAAAAACGTTCATTTATCGAAACCTGCGCGCGGACAGTGATGCCTGGTGGACGACGGTCAGCGACCCCGCAAACGTCCAACTTCATCCTTCTTGGTACCACCGTAATCCGTCGCATCGTTTTCTGTCGAACAACCAAAAACCTTTTTCGTCAACACAGTTAACTGGAAAAGTACAGTAACGTAAAACATTGTGCCAATCTTAAGATTGGCTTATCGGCACCGTCTCCAGTCTATTTAAAGTAGTTAGACAAAAAACGAGAAGAAACCGTATACCCCACGAAGAATGCCCCGAGTGCAGCTAGATGGACTCACCACTCACTTAGTAGTAATTGTTTCGAATATCTCTGAACAAAGATGACCAAATCGTCATAAGAGAGCTTCCTCTCCAAACAGACGTCGATCCAACGCCGGGCCCCGTACGTACATCGTACGAGTAGCATACCTCCCAGTTTGTATGAACCGTCCAGTGCTGTTACCACCCACCCACCCCCCTACACGCTTGTAGTTCATTCTCAAACTAAAGAGCTCCGTAATATGCTTCATGACTCGTTCCTGTCGCCAACTTTCTTATCCTTGCAGCATCCCTTGCTGAATGTCCGCCAAGCACGTAGCATCAGATGCCCCTCCTCTCTGCGCATATACATCGGCCAATCGATCCCCATTCATTGTAAACACGTCAACACACCCCTTCAAATAGGGTATGATATCGACCGGGTAGGACTTGCCATGATTGAATATTTTCTACTTCGACATGGTATATTGGCTTCAAAGGTGGACATTTCTTGCTTCACCTCGCTCGCTACAGCATAGGGCACATCGAGGAATCAACCAAACGATGTAAAGCACGAAGAACAACAACAAATTCTGATCACAAACACGAACAGGCTACGCAAAATGGGCTGACAATGTCATCCCGTTGGTCACCACCAAGAGAACATGCTATCAAAAAGATAGATCCCTTTACTTTACTTTTGCGACACATGGATGACCTGTCAACAGGATGATCCGATGGTCCATACCACACCCAAGTAAAAGAAATTTGACGAAATCCACTTGAGGCGTGGTCTACTCACGCCACAAAGACACCGGCGGCAACCATGGCAGCAACACTAGCGCCGAGGACCGCTGTTGAAAACACGGCGGCCGGGGCAGCGACCAGCGATCCGCCGGTCGCCCCGGCTGCCGTCCCATCTTCCGAGCTGGCGCTAGTGGCCAAGGAGGAAACTTCGAAGGAGGAGCTTCCGCTCGCCCCCTCACCTGTACCTGGGCTGATGGCCCCGTTTACGACCAGTGAGTAGCTCTGGGAGTCGGTTATGAGGCTGTTTGCCCAAACCCATACTGAAAAAACGGTTTGGGATATGGGCGGGGGAAACATGTCAGGATTGATTCCTGTTCGTTGTTGACAATCATAAACATGTGACACGTAATCGCGACGAGCGAGGCGCACAGTCGCTAACTGACGAGAGAGAGGGGCTACCGGTGGCATCTCCACTTGGTTCGGTCCGACGTATGGGAAAAATAAATATCTCCGACGACCCACCGGTCCAGGTGCCTGTCACCACGTCCGTGGCGTCCACGATCACTCGTTCGTTCACGTTGCGGTTGTCCGTCGTTTCAGATCCCCACATGCGGTACGTCGTTCCGTCTGGAGATACCACGACTAGATCCAGATTGTGGACCAACTGAACAGCCGATGTTGCCGTAGAGGGGGGGTCTATCCAGGACAACGTGGCACGCAGATCCAGGCCAGCGTCGGCGTCCACGTCGAACAAGTATTCGTCGAGGGTGCCCTCGGCGATGGATGTGTCGAGGGCATCTGCCACGAAAAGCACCAAGTTTCCTTCTCCCTCTAGCGGCATCCCTGCCTCAAGGTGTACACGTCCGAAGCCGCGGAAGCCATCGGGCTCACTGCTTCCTCCCATCAGGTTTGCGCTGTTGATCAGCAGAGCCTGCCAAGCAGGCGCAGCAGCAGCAAGGGGGAGGATATAAGCGTCTGCTTCCAAAACACTCAGGATGGGGTGAGGGCTCTCTCTGGGCACGTGCGTTTCCTCTGGGCTGTCCGTGTTGCCGTTTGGTTGCTGTACCCACTATTTTTCGAGTCGAAGGAAGGCCCTCGCAGTGGTCATCCCACGGGGTCGAACAAACCATGATATCGGCTGTATTGAAGCATCGAATGACGAGCGCCTGCAAAAAAGAGTAGGAGAGGGTCGCCTAGATTTATCAATCCAACCATCGCTACAAGCAAGTACCCTGTGTGGTGCCACCTCTCCAAGCCATGCAAAACCTCCGATTCTTACGGTAGTGTGGAAAAAGACGTGAGCGCTCACTTTGACCGTTGCCGCTGACGGCGAGAAGCCCTCGCATATGAAGACATCGCTGCAGAAGCCCCTGGCTGTCACGTCCGCCATGTAGAAGGTCTCATCCATGAAGTATTGCCTTATCTGGCAGTCGGTAGAGCCCCATTCAGAATCAGTTAGAGCCAGCAACATGTTACAACGCAGGGCACGACAAACGTAGAAGCATCGGCGCACACAACCCTTACCGATGCGCCGAAAAACGATGGGGTGTCCATATCCGCCGGGACACTTGGTACGTTTCGGAGGTTGGTCTGCAAGCTTGATCAGTCTCCCACATCGTGCGTAACCTGATGTTCCCGGGTGTCGTGAGATCTAAGAGTATCGTGTCAACGACCTCTACTGCTCCAAAGTCTTCTCCCCGCGGCCAACAATGAGGTCTCAAAAACAATACCGAAAAGAGCAGGCACGACGAAGATGTGAAACGCTTGGAACGCCTCAGCCGCAACAGATCCGACCCCAGGGCCCCCTTACCATAGCCGCTGCACCCGCAACTATGGGGCAGGACATCGAGGTTCCTTCGTACGCCCAAAGCCTACACGAGTGTGTGTCCGTGCCGTCGCTGGCTGCAGAGTAAACCTGTCCGACGCAATGCACGGCAACACGCGGCGGGTAAGAGGCACACAACTCTAACCGGGCGCGGCAGCACGTGAAGACGACAAACCGTCAACTTAATCCCGCACTCGCACATGAAGATGAAAAATCCAAAGTCATGACGTCTATCTTGCGAGGGGGACGTTGCGCGCGAGCCGCTTCCTCTCCTTCCAAAACCACGATCTATGGACAATTTTGATGCTCTTGGTGCGAGCCCAAGGAAGACGCAGGAAACTGCTGCTCCTACTCACCGAGTCTCCTGGAGCCACGACCTCTGGCTTAATTCGATCATCCGTTGTGAACCCCCACGAACTGAATTCAGCCACGGTGTTGATGCCCGTGGCCCCGACCGTGGAAATGACGCGGGTGTCGCCCGATGTCGAAGCCCCGATCGCTAGAGAGTTTTTTCCGATGCCCGGGGTATTTATCGTGCACGTTGAGCGCTCCTCCCCCCCCTCGTTTCCTGTGTCATTCATTTATCGCGATGAAAAATGAAGTTGGTGGTCAGATCAGCAACGTTTTACAGAGCTATCTATTGTTTCCAGCCGCACACAACATTTCGACCATCGCGTGGTGAGCTGTACACAACTGTGTCACTACCGCCGAGGGTTTTTTGGAAAACTTGCCCCATCAGGCGACAAGCGGTGGAGCACGTAGCACTAATGAAGAATAGTCCGTAGTGCCGAGCCCAACGAGTCTAACGATCATCATACGCGCATTCTCGAGTTCCAACCACGTCACACTTCGTCTCCAGACGTGACGGCGGGAGATTACCGCGAAACGCCTCCAGAACAACTTCAGGCAACAGCAGGCAACAGCAGGCAACAGCAGTGGCTCGGTGTCACCAGGGCATCCGCTGGGCAACAATCGTGGTGCGGGCCCATCTCATTATGCCTTACAACCTCTGCACGGCAGCAGTCACGCAGACGCGCCTCACCAGCCGCAAAGATGAGGAGGTGCTCCGCATTTTCGTACATAAACTGATCGTTAAGGATGTCCCAGGAGGCAATCGAACACTCGAAATCAGCGCCTAGGCTGTTGGAATGCAGCTTGCATCCAGCCTCCGTGCAGACTTCCCATAGATTGTTGCCTATGCTAGAGGACGCATCGTAGTCGCCGTAGAACACGTCGAAGATCGCCAGCTTTGCGCCCTGAGCCATCCCTCCGTTGTTCGACAGGGTCTCAGGCACATCGTCGCTCAAACAAGTGGTATCAGTCGAGTTGTCACACCCGTACATCGGACAAAGACGGTCGAGATCTGTACCACCGGTTTGATGTGAGATAGACACCAAGTCATCCGTGACATCCAAAAGGTCAATGCAGGCACCCACGCAGCTCAGCGTGTCCGTTACGTTGCACGTGATCGTCTCCGCAGGGTTGTTTAGCGTAGCCCCCGCGGCCGATCCTGCAGTATGGGTGCCATGTCCGGCCTGAGGTAAACACCACGAGCAAGACGGAAAAAGAAAAGGATTAACACCAGCGTAAGAGACAAGGGGATATAAACAATAGCCGCGAAAACTTCCAACTCTCGCTTGGGACGGATCCTTTTTTCTATACCTCGACAGCTCAAAAGAAAACCGACGACGACTGAGAAAAAACACATTACATGATCGGAACTAGAACGCAAGTTAAGCGACGGCGTCAATCGTCATGGTTCATTGTTGGAGAGGAACGCGACCATGAGAATAGCATTGGGCCAAATCGTGACACTCCTACCTCAACGCGACTCTCGCCTCATCATCCTCGCCGAATTGATCCGGCGGAAGGAAGTAGCCAATGTAGCTGCCTTGGGACGTGTAGAATGAAGAGTAAGGCGAGTCGGGATTGACCAGGTCGATGTATTGGATGATCTGTCAGAAACGACCAGAAGACCAAGCGTGTGTTATCGCGAATGGGGTCCAGAACACGGCGCGTGGGGGGGGGGGGCGCCCTCGCATATCGCATGCGTTAGCGGTTAGACCATTGACCACGTGTCCTCGAAAGGACGGAAAAATGTGTTCCCACAGGACCGATGACCGGTGGCCGATCGTCCCTTCCTACTTTGCAACGGTGTTTCACAAGGTTTCCCCTACTCTATCTTTCCTATCGATATCACTTGCCGCCTTTTCAGCACACTTCCTACGCCTCAGTAATGCTACCGTTTTCTTGTGGTTATTTCACGCCTCAAACATCTTTCTGTAGCTCCCTTCAATTGCTCCCAGCATTACCTCTCCAGTTCAAATAATAGACATTCTGAAACTAAATGAACCCGGTCGTTGCACTCGGAGCCGCATTAAAACTTGAACTTGTCGTCATCATCACCAGAGTTCCTAAACCTCCACCTACGTTCTCGAAGGTCCCAGTGCATGAAAAGATCAATGCACGGGGGGGGTGTCTTCGACTAGCGTCGACCGCGAAAGCCGGGTGGACACTTAGAAGACATCAGTGCTGTAGCGGAACAAGAAACGCGACTCATTTCTGGTTTGCGGGCTACCTCTACAGGTGTACGTAGTGTGTATTAATGTGCGTGAACGTCCTTCTTCGCTTTGTACCGACAGCGCACACCGGTTGACCCACGAAAAGCCGTCGGTCGCAGCGGGGACCAAAAGCTATTCGGTGGATCCGAGCTTTCTTGCCGTCGCGTCATCGTAAAAAAACGTGTCGACCAACGAAGACCCGCAAGCGGGAGATCAAAAGCGCAATGATTGCTCCTCCGCGGTGCACGCTAAACATGAGCCAACTGGATAAACTGTCCTGAAATGTGTGATCCCCAACGCGAGAAACCGATCTTAGCATACGGCACACGGTCGTGCACGGGTGGGGCGCTGAGTACCGTAACCACGTCGTGTTTGTGCTGACAAACGCTGAGGTCGCCTCTCCAAAACTAGCATTCGTTCGCCGGGGGACGCTTTGATCCAAAACTGTTCATCGGGGAAGAGCGAGGCATCAACCAATGGGACTCTCTCACCGTGAACAAACACCGAGGGAAATGTAGCTCCTATGGGTACGGTGTGTGAGCCAGCCAACCTCACCAGGACGTAGTTGATACTTTTGTCTTCTTGTTGACGCTCTCACCTTGCGTCTCTCAGGATAATAAGAAAAATCGCCACCGTTGAAGATTGTGGCAGTTTCGTCTGAACTGTACAGGGAGCTGTACACGGCTGCTTGTGCCAGCTCATCGAAGTAGTACCCGTGATCCACCTCCTCTCCACTGTCGTCTATGAAGTAGCATGACGTCTCGTCGAGGCCAGAATCTATTACCTAGGGGGAGGAAACGAGTTGCGCGCGTGTTGAGAATCCATGGAAGGTAAGTACCGGTAGCAAGAGAGTGAGGTGATTCCATTACCAGGCCTGCAACGCGATGTGCGGCGAGCGCTTCTAAAGCGCCGTCCGTCTAAAATCCATGGCAGGTATGCCATCCCCAAGACCAAAATCAATCTTGGGAAAGAACAAATGGGGGTCATGCATTGGAGAAGATGCGCAACAACGATCGACCGCTGTCGCTCGCCTCGGAGACCAACTCGCAGAACGTCCTGCAGTCGTCACCCTGACCTCCCCAACTCTCTTCACGCACCTGGATAATTTCACCCGTTCCGTCTAAGCCCGCGTCCGTTAGCGGCGTGTCCGTGGCCGAGGCGCTTTGGACTATGCCTCGGGCGGCCGCGTTGAGCACGCGCTTAGTAGGTCTGGGAGACACTCTCAGGACCTCCGGCCTGCCGGCGAGGACGGACACAAGGCCCATGAAGCACGCCACATGCAACTCGGTCGATTCTTCCTCGTGGCTTCCTCCGGCTCCTCTTCCCGAAAACAGCAGGTGGTCCAGGCCTGTGGCATGCATGTATGTTTTTGTGTAGAACGTTGCAACTTAACAACCAGTGTAGACTACCAGAGTGTAGAGACTGCAGCAACTAGAGCCACGAAAAGTGCGCCCTGAAGCCGCCCCAGACAATCTTGAATTACAGCGTAGTCGTCCCCGCTCTCGTGTCCCCGGGGATTGAAAGTTATCGTTCCCTGCATCTCTCGTAAAGACACCTGTGGAGGTGAATATTTGCAACTCAAGCGCGTTCTTCAGGACTGGGCGCCTCACCAGAGCAGCCGCGCGTTTTCGCGCAACTCTAAACTCAAGACGATTTTCGGCTCGCCTACGCACGCCTACCCTAATTGAGCGCCACGAAAAGTGCCCCCTGACGCCGCCCCAGACAATCTTGAATTACAGCGTAGTCGTCCCCGCTCTCGTGTCCCCGGGGATTGGAAGTTATCGTTCCCTGCATCTCTCGTAAAGACACCTGTGGAGGTGAATATTTGCAACTCAAGCGCGTTCTTCAGGACTGGGCGCCTCACCAGAGCAGCCGCGCGTTTTCGCGCAACTCTAAACTCAAGACGATTTTCGGCTCGACTTCGCACGCCTACCCTGATTGACTCTGTCTCTGTCTGTCTCTGTCTGTCTCTGTCTCTGTCTCTGTCTCTGTCTCTATCTCTTATCTCTCTCTCTCTGCGACGCTGACGGGGACCGCTCTCTCCGTGACGACTTCGGTGTCGCGGGCTCGAGACCCAAAGCGGGCGACGAGTTCAGATTCGCAAATCTGTCTGCGACACGGCGGTGCTCCGAGCCCGAACCTACATCTGCCTTGCTTTCATTCTGGCGGTGTTATTAAGTAGAGAGCTTGCTGCGTCCGCGCATCACCACACTGTTGTTGAATGTCTAACCCACAACAGACATACTCGCATTAACGAAGCATGCAGCGACTGATAGACGCATGTTGTTGTGGTGGGGACTTGAAATCACCACGGACCAGCAAAATGCAGGCAAACACCCGCGCTTTACTTCAATCTTGTGTTTTTCAACTCCATGAAAAGAACGGGCAAAAGAATTTTTGAAAACAACCCGATCATGCGGCGGGAAATTGCCGCATGACTAAAACTGATTCTTGATTTTTCTCCGACGCATGGAAAATATCTAGAGCAGCAGCAACCTTAGAGTTGGCGTACTCCATACCCCACACATGTACGCGTACACTCTCAACGGAGGACTGGAGGGGTAACGCACTCCGCGTCCGGACCTTGAAAGGCTAAACGGTTGAACTGCCTGTAAACGTGTCTGTTGCCGAATTAAAATGGCCTCAAGGGTCGCACACCCCACCTACTCTTCTTCCCCTCGCTGCCTCGGGAAGGATCTGCGTAGGCACGACCCATAGCGAGAGGGGGGGGGGG